ATCGCAAACAAACATTCTCCCCGCCAAATAACAGCGTCAGCATCCCTCACATCCAGTGCGGGATCAATGATGAGGCAACTGTCCATCGGGCGTTCTGCGGACATTTTATGGACACTCCCCAAACACCAGCCAATGGAATACAGATCCGACGCGCAGCATTTGACGGGAACGCCCAATTCGCACAGCATGTGGGGATATTCACTCATGTTCAGTGCAGAGCAATTCCTCTGCTGCTGCAGCGCACAACCCGAATTCCCGCACCAACGCATCGGCTCCGTCATCCCCCTGCTCACCCTCATGCAGCCCAGGGCAGCCAATGCAGCCAGCGTCAGCTCCGCGCAGTCGCCGGCACCTCCAATCGCCGCCATCCACTCATCCCTCGCGTGGCACCGCGACCGGTGCGACTCCAGCGTCCTCCCGTCCCCATCGTCATCCTGCTGCTCCACGCCATCAACGTCGTCGCAGTCGTGGTGCTCCCTCGCTGCCATCGCGGCAGTCGTCGAGTGCACCACCACCGACAGCGCCCCGCCACGCACACAGGCAGCATTCCTCACCATGCCACGGCCTGCCATGTGCGGGCAGGCAAACCCGACAGCATGGGCCATCGGGTGCGCGGCGATGCGGGTGGCGAGGCGTCCGTGAAACAAGACGGCCGGGCAATGTTCATGGCGCCAGCGACGGGACGGCCATCCTCCAGCGTGGCGCACGGCAGTGCCCACACACCACCCGGCGCAGCAGCCACGCACTGCCCCATGTCAGAATTGGCAGCACCAGCGGAACGATGCTCAGCAGGCACAGTGAACCGACTGCAAACACTGCCAGTGGCGAGTGACGGTGCAACCAACGGACGCTCCAGTGGCTGGACGAGCAGACGATCCGCATGCAGCTTGACAGCAGCAGGGACAACCTCCTCGGCAACAGCGTTCCCGTGCGCAGACGACAGAGCACCATTCTTGCAGACAAACGCGCCGTCCAATGCATTCGCTGTGCAACACCAGGTGAAGCCGCAGTGCCTCCTGCTGTCACACGGGTCCGTTGTTGGCGCCTTGATGCGGACGGGCACCCATCGGTCCCTCCAAACGACGCTGCACACCTGCAACGCATCCTGCGCTCCGAGAGGCACGTCTCCCACCACACCCGGGGACGCCCACACGCCGCCGGCACGCACCGCATCGTCAAGGAAACAGGGATACGTCAGGATGAGAGCAGGACACCCGCCGGCAATTCACATCGCTGGCATCATCACAAGCAGCAGCAGCGGCAGCACTGCAGGCCGCGGGGCAACGTGGATCAACCGACGCATGGCGTATGTGGAAGAAAAAACGTAATGGCCTGACGAGGATGCAAGAGGCTGGCACCTCTACAAAAAGAAAAAAAACGGTATGAGAACATAAAGAGGAGATTTAAACGCCCGCAGTCAATGCAAGCCACTGATAAAAGGGTGGAATGAGTGCACTCAACCACAACACGAGCAGAGACTCAAAAAAGAAAACAAAAAACAAGAAGCCGAAGCGTGGGACGACCGAAGCAAACACACTCTCTCATTGCTCCCGTAAAGCAAAACACACACACAGGAAGAGAGAGAGTGAGAGAGGTCGCCCACTCAAAGCAATGAAAAGTAAAAACAGAAACAATTACGGTGCTCCGCCCATGCAGCCAGGCAGGAGGGCAGCGGTGCGTGTGTCTCAAAAGAGAGAACCAACGGGCCTGCATGGGTGTGCATTCATAAATAAGTAAACAAATTATGTTTGTGCTTAGTAGACTGAGGTGAGGGCGAGAGTCCATGCAAGGGGACACACACAGTGAGAGAAGGACGAGTGTGTGTGCGGGCGGTGCACGGCTCCCTCTCCCTCACTCTCACGCGGCCACCACCGCAGCAGCAGCTGCACACGCAAGAAGAAAAAGAAAAAGAGGGGAGGTGGTGTGAGAGGCCGCGGTGCTGCCGTCACTGTCGTCAGGCGTCCTCGTGGCACTTGTTTGAGCGGCGGTGACTGTTGCTGGTGTTGGTGTTGGTGTTTCTGTTCCTCCCTCTCCCGGCGGCTGTGATGCATGTGTACCTTCGCCTGCGGTTCCTTCCGATTGATCCAAATGACTTTCCTCCGAACTGTTGTCCTGACCATCAGCAGAATGAGCAGCGGTGACTGTTGGTGTTGATGTTTCGGTTCCTCCCTCTCCAGGCTTTTGTAGTTGTGTACCTGTGGCTCCTTCCGATTGATCCGAACCATTTTTCTCCGAGGTTTGTTCCTGCCCCCCAGAGGAACCATCGGCAATCGGTGCTGCTGTTGGTGGTGCTTCTTCCGCCGGCAACTGTGACTGCGGCGGTGGCTGCTGCGCTGATTGTACTTCTGTTGTCACACCTGAGGTCGCTGGTTCACCGGGTTCCGCTGACTTCGGCAAATTTATCGGCCCTGTTGGTGCTGGTGGAGTTGCTGGTGGTGACGGAGGTGCTCCTCCCGGCTGGTTTAATTCTTCTGCTTTACCTTCATCTTCTTTCAATCGACCCGAGCCACTTCCCTCCGAACCGTGGGCCAGCCTCCCGGCAGAACCCTCGTCACTCGCTTCACCACTTCCTTCCCCTCCCAGACCAGCAATTGATTGAGCATTCTCCTGCTCTCCCGACTCGGCATTTCCACCTGTGACAGAACCTCCAGCTGCATTTTGTTGAGACGTCACCTCAGTTGTTTTACTGCAAAAAATTGTGGGAAAGGCTTTACAGTACGTGCCGTTTGCTCCATAATAATATGCATGTACCTCATCGTTGAAAAACAACGCGTAGCCACCGCCGGCACCGCACCACAGCACGCAGAGAGCACACACCAGCAGCACACGGCCAGTCATCATCATCGCCATCACTCCTGTCACTTGCCTGCAGCCTTCAGCACAAACTAACTCCCCGTCAACGCAGAGCGGAAGCAAAAGGAGAGAAACGGCCGCTACACCACGCACAGCCACCGCACAGCCACAAATGGCAGCAGCCCAGCAGCGGCAGTGCACAAACACCATGAGGCAGTTGAAAGCAGTGGAAGGGCAAAAACACACAACGCCCCGCAGCAAGTAAACAGAAAAACACACAAAAACACAATTAAAAACAAAACACAGGTAAACAAACAGCAATGAAGTAAAAAAATAAAAACACGCAAAACAAAGGGCTGCACAGTATGGCTCCAGCGCGCACGCACCCATCCTCAAATGTGGCTCCACGCAAACAGTTGTGTGCGTGCCATGCATATGAGTCTGTCTGGGATGCGCTCAACGTGACGGATGCGGGGAGCGGCAAGGAGCACACAGCAGGGCAGCGAATGCAAATAAAAACAGTAAAACAAAATCATCATTTTTTTCGTATTTATTACTTAGGAAAACAATAGACGCGCACAAGTCCCCGCGGCTGAGTGCTGGCACGCACAGCCCACACAGAATTCTCAGCCCAGAGTGGTGTACGCAAGCGCAGCCAGAGCGAGCAGCAGCGGGGCATGCAGACGGGTGTCATGGAAGCAGGCGTCATTTCCGACGCTGCTCTCCAGCGCCTTCGTTGTGGGCGCAGAGGAAAGTGGAGCCAGCATGCCTGCCGCCGTAGGATTTCCCTCGCTGGTGGCCGTGTCGGTGGTGTTGGTATTGTCTCCGTGCGCCACCGCGGCAGCAGACGGCGGGGTGCCGTTGGGAGTCCCCTCCGCTGCGGAGTTTTCACCCGGACCGCTGGCAGCAA